TTCCTCGACAATGGCCAGTGCTCGAGGAAGCTGGCTGCTTTGCTGTATAAATACTGTCGAATCATCCACAAATGCTGAGAATTGGTCTTCCTGAGCTGGATCCAAACCTGGTACTGGAACCCCTTTGAGCTGAGTATCCTGAGAAATTGCTATCCCCAACAGATCTGCAGCTAGAATAAATAACAGAGGAGCCAAGTGGCAGCCCTGCCGTATCCCGGACATCACGTTCATCGGCCCCGAGAGCTTCCCATTTACCAAATACAGCGCTGTTGTATTGTCATGTAATCTCTCGACCAGGGCTACGAACCCTGACGCAAATCCGAATTGACGGAGTACTTCCAACAAGTAGACTCTATCGACGGTGTCATACGCCTTTGCGAAATCTATCTGCAGGATGCCCGCGCTATCTCCCGCGGATTTGAGGTCGTCCGTAACTACCCCATCTATCTGAGCTATCATGATGATGACCGACCTGCTCATCTGCCTTCCATGAACAAATCATTGTTGAGTATCTCTAATCAGCCGCCCGAGGAAACGTTGAAGTCGTGTTGCGATCACCTTTGCAAATATTTTATAGCTCGTTTGCATTGGCCTATAGTCAAGTGCGTTTGGAAAATCCCCTTTCATGCGCAGCAACATGATAATGGCCTTCATGAACGATCCCGGTGGGAGGGCTCCGTGTAGTAGTTCATTGCATACTTCCACACCATCACTTCAGACCCATCACAGTAGAAATCATTCCCCAGTCCGTCTTCTCCTGCTGCTTTGTGCCTCTCTAACGCTTTGATTGCTGCGCATAGATCTTCAGCGCTGATGTTCGCCATATTGGAAAGCGACCGTATAACCGGTTCCTTTGACCGGTTCGGGAGCCGGCTCGAGGATTTGCAGAGGAGTAATGCACGGGTGGCTGCTGGGTACGCTGCAGGGAGTACGGAGATAAAGGCAATGACACTTCTACATTTTCACGCACAGTATATCCTAAACTGCTAACACGCCTTTAGCTGAGTGTTTTCCGCCTCGTTCACTTTCCTCTCCGACGGAATAGTGACAAAGTTCTCCACTGCTTGCTTCATCACACTGACTATGCCGTTTTCCAGTTATTTGCTTCCACACTTTAGAGAATCGCTCCTGAATAGGCATATCCGGGTCAAATTTCAAATTGGGTGGTGGCAGAATTTGTGAGACAGTTTGATCTCGTTCCCACACAGCTGTCTCCTTAAAAAGCCAGCGTACTTGTTCCCGCGTCCGATGTAGTCGATCCCCTGCACGTTTTGGTTTCCGCTGGCGAAGGTCGTCGACTAACGCCGTCACTAACTGCACCCCGGTCTTGCTATTTTCCTGAATCTGACGTTTTAACTTTACTGCAACTTGTTTCCTCCGTTTCTTATCGCGTTGAGCAACATTTTTAACTGCTTTTCTGCTCGCCTTTATCCAGCAGTCCCAGCGTAGTTGGTCACGTTGCGGCGCTGACCCGAGTAACTCCTCAAGAAGCTCCTGTATTATACGTTCGGTATGAGAGCCGCGGAAAGGGTAGGGTGGTCTTGAGGATCTGCGTTGCGTAGGTCTCCTGCGGGCTGGATCCCGTAGATGCAACATGATTTCGGCATGATCTGAAATCATAGGCGATGGAGTCACTTCTAGCCATTGCATCCATGCACTTAAGGACGAAGATAAGTAAAATCGGTCCAGTCGACTCGCGGATTCCCCTTGCCGATGAGTGAAATGTTCATGCTTTGGAAGCTCAAGTTCCACCAAAGCTGATCCCAATAACACTCGCGCATCCTCCATGCCGGATTGTTTCATTAACCTTGACAGGGCCTCGCTTTCTGTTTTCATGGGTCTAACTCCTCCAAGTCTGTCTAGCTGCGGGGTTTCCACACAATTAAAG